AGAAAAATCAAGTCGTTAAATTTTAAGTAATTTAAATTGTTGTATTATTTATTACAATTTATAATGCTTTTAAAGTAGTTTAAATATTGTACTATTTATTATGATTTATAACACATTTTTTTAAATTTATGTCATATTATGGAATTTGAGAAGTTATTGAAATTTTTATATGATTTTAAAAATATTTTAAATTGTTAGCTATTGTGATTTGTAGTACTTTTTTTTAACATAATTTTGAAAATAATATTTATTACTCTGTTTGTTCTAATTTATGTGGCAGATGCAGAATTTCAAATATTAACCCTTTTTTATGTCTCTTTAATATATTAAGTTGTTAATTATTGTATTTTTTAGTACATTTTGAACCTAATTTTTTAATAATATATGTTATTTGTCATGTCCCAATTTATGTGGCATTAATTGATAGATTTGTTGGAGTCGAGAGATTTATTTTGTTAATTATTGTAATTTATAGTTTCTTTTTCGTCAATTTCAAAGAATATATGTTGTTAATTGATAGATTTTTTGGAGTGGACTATTTTTTTATTAATTATTGTAATTCATTGTTTCTTTTTCGTCAATTTCAAACAATATATGTTTATTATATAATCCATTTTATGTGGTACCAATAGAATTTAGAGAGTCAATTAAATGTTTTATATAAGTTTTAAATAATTAAGTTGTTAATTATTGTAATGTATAGTATTACTTATATTATTTTTAAATATATTTAAGTATTATATCTTAGGTTTTTTATCCTAATTTATATGGCATTGATAGAATTTAAAGTGTCAAATAATTGTTAATTATTGTAATAGATAATATGGAGTATTTAAGCCATTTATAGTATAGTAATTAATATATAATATGTAGTATTTAAGTGGAAGGTGGTGGGGCCCACTTATATAGTTTGATAAATATATTGGATATTAGTAGTGATTTATAGTATAGTAATTAATAATATATAATATGTAGTATTTAAGTGGAAGATGGTGGGGCCCACTTATATATTTTATAAATATATTGGACATTAGTAGTGATCTTATTGGCACAATGGTAGTCATTCCTAGAGTCTTCTATAATATAGTAATGTGTTTATCTTGTACTTTAAAATTATTTGGCTCAACTAGCGACTGATACTAGGTCTTGGGGATGTTTTGTATATATTTATTGTCTCTCTTTCATTTATTTTGATGTTTGTTTCTTATTTTCTATATTGCTTTTGGTTATGGGCTATAGAGTTGACTTACCTATTAGTGAATATTAGTAGATTTCATCATGATTTGAGATTTTGGATTGTGACACTACCGAACTCGATTGACCCTTAAACCATAGTCATTCATATAAGTTGCTCTTTTTTTCTAGGTGTGATTCTATTCATGGTAACCACTCTAAAAGGAGTATTCGAGAGATGTATTTTAATGTATTGTTCTAAATGAATGAGAAATTTTTCTTCCAAAAAAACAACATGTAGTAGTCAGGTGGAAAAAGTTGTTTGTCTGCTAATTGAAGAGAAATAAATTTTGACTGATCAATATTAGAACTATTTAAATTATTATTTTTAAAGGGAAAAAACTCAAATATGTTATCAAACTTTGAGACAAGATTCACATATGTCATTCTTTTAAGGCAAAAGGCATAAATTGCCCCCTAAACTTGTATCCAAAAGTCATTTACACACTTTAACTAATGGGGCGACCTATTACACACCTTAAGTACATAAAAGTATATTTATTTTCCCCTTCCGTCACTCAACCCAGGGCGCGTTTCGCTCCACATAGTTGAGCGGGTCAACACGCTAATAAAGTCATTTTTATTTATTTTTTTAATTAAAAAAACCCAACCCAACGGTTATATTCCCATTCTCTTCATATAACCCACCCACCCGACCCTAATGAACAAAAACCCTAAATTTTCACCCAAAAATCTGAATCAAGAATCCTAAATTCAAACATAGTTCAAAATTCCTTCTTTTGAATCAAAGGTAACTCTTTTTCATTATTATTCATTCATCTCTTTTCCATTTTGATTCATTTCTCTCTTTTTCATTTTGATTTGTTTCTATCTATTTCGTATTTTGAATTTTTAGTTGTTTGATTTGCGGTAATTCTTATTAAGGTGCTACAATGGCTCGAATAAGCTTGACTAGGCTCTGTTTACAAGAGGAAGATCATGAATTGGAAGAGGTGCGATGCAAACACGATTTGTTTTGCCTTTGCTGACCTCTTGGACCCCGAGAAATCCTAGTAGAAGATATTGGGGTTGTCCTTACTATGGGGTAAGTTAATCTTTTTTAAGAGTTGAATAATTCGTTTTGTTGTTTCAAGAGCCATAGAATGATTCATTTTATTTTTTAAGAATGATAGATCATGCGATTTTTGTCTTTGGAAAGATGATTATATTGATCCAAGATCCAAATTTGTGATTCCCAAGTTGTTGGGAAGAATTGCGGAGCTTGAACATAGTGTTGAATCTTCTCAAAAAGTTGAAACTTCGGATAATGAAATCAACAAGCCTACTAAGTCGACCAAATCTATGGAAAGTAAAATAGTTATGAACAAGAAAGAGTCAAAAATGGACAATTTTGATGATGATTTGAAGAAGATGAAAGCAGCTGAAAAGAAATGGAAAAACAAATTGGCCAAGTCCAAGAAAAGGGAAAAACAACTTTGGATTGCTTTGTTGTGTGTTTGTATTTTAGGTGTAAGTTTAGTATTTCAAAGAGTATTGTTTCTGGAAGGAGAAGGACATTCAAGGAAATTGTCATGATCTCTTCTTGTACCAAAAATTTGCAATATTGTGTTGAACTTGTAAGGCTTTTGTGTAATGAAAAGAATTTACAAAGCTTCTCTTATCTTAATTTGTCTCATTTATTGTTGCAAGTATTTGATTTTGTATTTGGTCATAAACTATACATTTAGTGTGTACAACTATCTGCTCAACTGTCTAAACTATACGTTTGTGTAGCCACTACTAAAGTAGTCACTAATTACCCTCCATAAACACAGAAACCATCAACTAAAAGAGAAGCAATATTGTTACATAAACAGACATTCATAACTGCATAATCATTAATCAAAATAGAAGTTAATATCTGTCAAAGCAGTTACATAATCAAACACCACAAATCAAAATGCAGTCACAACTACAATTCATTGTCTTAAGTATAAGGGTACTAAATAGGGATAAAGTGCATTGCATTGTCTATCACCCAACAAAACATAATGTCTACATTGCATTACCAACAAAAATCTACCAAAACAAGTTAGATTGCATTAGAGCTCTCTTGGCTCAAATGTGCAGCCTTAGACCTAGTCTCCATTTGTTTTCTTCCCCTCATCTCTTCAAGTTGGCTTGAGGTCATAGCTTGTTTTCCCTTCCATTTCACACCACATAGTGGTTTATGTCCAAGATCTCCAGTGACAATTGCTGAAGACTTCACATTTCTAAATCTTTCACTAGGCATTCCAGGCTGTTCAAATGAATATAAATAATCGTAATTTGTGATTAAAGAAAAAATAATAAATGATATTTAAGTATAGAAATAGGGAACTTATATTAATAATAGTAGCACCACTTTGTGTGTGTAGTACACCCAGTCCAACTATTCTTGTTCTGCTAGCAACACTACCCTAAAAAATAACAAAATATTTAGTAAAACAACTTATTTAAAACTTATACATGAAGTAAATAAAGGAAACTATATCACTTTTTCTATTGAACCCTTTGGTCTACCCCTTCCTCTTCCAGTTGGAGCATTAGGTGTTGCTCTTGGGCCAACAGTTTGTGTTGATGTTGGTGCAGCAGCAGGGCCAACAGTTTGTGTTGATGTTGGTGCAGCAGCAGGGCCAGAAGAAGGTCTTGAACTTGGTGCAGCAGGGCCAGAAGGAGGTCTTGAACTTGGTCCAACAGTAAAGCTTGTGCCAGAAACAGGTGCACCAAGAGGACACTTTCTTTTATTGCGACCCTTGTTATGACAAGTGTTGCATGACATTTTAATCCCTCTTTTGGATAATTTTCCAGTTTTACTGGTTTCACCTTGCTCTTTCTTTCTTTTCTTGCCAGTCCTTCCTGGCATCTTCCTAACAGGAGGTGGTATCACAAAGATGTTTTGTGATTCTGGCCACATTTTTAGATTCATAACTAGTTGAATGAAGTAGTTGTATGTCTTCATGTATGTTTCTTTGTTATACCAATGAGAAATGTAGTTGATTGGGTCCAATTTCCTATGGTGAAGAGCAGCTATTGCATGAGGACATGGTATGCCTTTCAACATCCATGCTCTACAACTACATATTTGCCTTTGAATATCTACTACATGTCTGTATGGTCCATGAAGTACCTCATACCCTATATTTGAATTCCATTCAATGCAGCATTTCATAGACTTAGCTGTGTTATCTTGTAGAACCTTCATTGCCATTGGAGAAATGTCACAGATCCAAGTATTGCAAAACTCTCTCATCTGCCCTATTCTTTTCCTCATTTTCATCCTAATTTCTTCAAGCATTGTAATTATAGTCTTATGTCTTGCTGCTAATATCCATGAATTGAAACATTCAGCCATGTTATTGTCTACAACATCACATTTAGGTAAAATTGAAGTAAAGCTTGCTCCATCTTTCAGGATTATAATACAACAAGTGATCAACTATGTTATTGCCCAACATTTTCATATAACTAAAACTAATGTTATCTTTTAACTCAGCCTCAAAAGTAGACCTTGCACACTTCCAGAAACATTTCTTTCTCTCAAGACCTCTCCATCTCTTTGACCAGTTAGCAAGGATGTGTCTAGCACACATTCTATGCTCAATATTTGGCAAATGATCAGTTATGGCAATTTCAAGACCCTATAAGAAAATTCAAGACAGGAAACTAAGAAACTAAGACATTCATAAATAAATGGCATTCAAGACATGAAATAAATCAAAAAAATCAATAAATATTCTAACCTTTTGCATATCTGATATGATTGTGAGGTCTGTACCATCTCTCAACTAAAGATCTTCCTTTAGAAGTTTGACAAACCAAGCCCAAGTAAACTTATTTTCAACTTCAACTACTACCCAAGCCAGTGGCAGCATTTGATTGTTCCCATCTTTACAAACAACAACCAATAATTGACCTTTAGATACTCCCTTTAGAAAACAACCATCCAAACCAACGCACCTCTTACAACCAGCCAAGAAGGACTTCTTCATTGCATCAAAACATATGTAGAGGCCTTGAAACATTTTTCTACCATTTTCAAATGTTTCTTCATGAAGCTTGACTACACATGTACTACCTGGATTAGTTCTTAGCAACTCATCTTTGTAGTCCAAAATCCTCCCAAACTCAAGAACATAGTCACCCATTAACTCCTGTAATACTTTGTTTCTTGCTCTCCTACACACTGTTCTTCCAACATATAAATTCAATTCTTTTTTAATAAGCCCTTGAAACTCAAAGATTCTAATGTCAGGTTGTTCCTTTATCCTTTCACTGTAGTGACTAGATAAGAATTTGCTATTACAAAGCTTGTTCCTATTAGTAGGATCACATTTGTGAACTGGATTGTATGTCTTTACAACAAAATTATTTGTCCTAGAATCAAAGCTAGCAAATAAAACCCAAGGACAACCAACTGTACACCTAACCCTTACCCTTGTTGGTTCATTAATATACATTTCAATTGCAACATGTTTAGCAACAGCATATTCGGTAACAACAGATCTAAACTCATTAACACTTTCAAATATAAGACCCAATTCCCACTCTACTTTCTGAGAAGATGCATCAAATACAACTCTATTCACCTTCTTTCTCCTTCTTGGCTTAACTCTCTCTTTGTTGAACCTCTTCTTTATCATCACTGAAAGCATCTGGATCTGTTTCAAAACTGGCAGCTTCATCTTAGGGATAATAAGGCTCATCACCAGCTAGCCTGCCTTCTAAGTTGTTTCTATTACCACCTGTAGATTCATCATACCCAGCATCTGGGCTTTTTTTTTTTTTGGTTCCTAACTTGACATGATCAGGCAATAGAGCTCTTTCTCCCCTTTTCCTTCTCTTTCTTTTACTCTTTTCCTCCCTAAAACTTCTTAGTTCATCATCTACATCACTCCCATTAAATCCCCCCCCCCCCCATTCAATGATTCTCTATCTAAATCTTGTTCATTAGAAGGATGGACAGGGTCAAGAATTGGATCAGAGAAAGGATGAACATGGTCAAGAGTTGGATCAGTAGAAGGATGGATAGGGGTTGGAGTTTGATGAGTAGGAGGAGGAGTATTTGGAGTAGTGAAAGAGTGTACATGAGAAAATGTATTTGAATTGACAGGGGCAGGGGCATAAGCAAGGGCAGGGTTTGAGGCAAAGTTTGAGGCATTTTCTTGGGCCTCATGTGTTGGTTCTAATTCAACATCAAAAGATGCATTAGGCCCACTGTTTTGAGATGCTCCCTCACCTACTTCACTTTCCCCATATTCCAATAAAGGTGGGACCAAAACTGGATCAGCAACAAAGTGACACACAAAACAATCCAAAATATCTCCATGACTCAAACACTCAGCAATTGAAGTAGTATCATAGTCAGATTTAATTTCTAACATAGCAGTACTTCTAGAAAGTTTCACATACAACACATATTGTCCAGGTTCATACCCCAACTCTTTTAGACAATCCCTCAATTCAAAATAAGATAACATATCTGTATCAACATCTAAAACTCATAAACTCCTCCACCATGATATGGTTTCCCCTTGTATCCCCTTTTTCCAATCTTAATAACACTACCGTGATAAAATCTCAAAGTAATCAATTCAAAAGACATTTTAACCTGAAAATAATGTTATCAGTTGACCCTCAACAACAACGACAAAACATATACAACAACAAAATTCATACAACAACAAAGGAGAATCATGTGAATGAAAGACGACATACAGTAAACTTGAAAAAAAAGTAAAGACGAAATAACCCTAAGCTAAAAAGTATGAACTATGAAGTAACCCTAGAAATGTTTGACTGACCTTTCAGATATGGAGACAACAACAAACTATGAACGATGAACGCCTCGGTTGTACCCACTAAACCCTAGTAACCACCGATTTGGTTCCACCAAACGATGAACGCCTCGATCGACAACACACCAATGTTCTTCAAATATAACAATGAAAACTTGATTAGATGGTTAAAACTACAAGGATGCTTCAAAAACACCACAAAATCGAAGAAATCTTTAGCTAAAATAGTGAAAACTTGATTAGATGGTTAAAACTACAAGGATGCTTCAAAAACACCACAAAATCGAAGAAATCTTTAGCTAAAATTAGGATTTATAGATGAATTTTTTCGATTAGGTTTTGGTGTTCTTAGAGAAAGGAAACGGGTGGGTGAAATAAATGGACTAGGGTAAAATAAAATGGATTTGGGTGAAAAGAATCGGGTTTGGGTCAAATGAATCGGATTGGGGTCTTTTATTACGTGGCTTAACTAGGAGGCGAGTGGCTCTCACTCTAGGCATAATGTCCTGGGTTGGGTGACGGAAGGGGGAAATAAATATATTTTCATGTACTTAAAGTGTGTAATAGGTCACCCCATTAGTTAAAGTGTATAAATGACTTTTGGGTATATGTTTAGGGGGGAATTTATGCCTTTTGCCTTCTTTTAAAGTTCAGTTCATATATGTCATTTTCATTCGACAAGATTAATCCATTTCATTATTTGTTAATTGAAATAACATAAATGAACCAAACTTTTAATAGATGACATATATAAACTTTTTCTCAAAGTTTGGTGACATATTTGAATCTTTTTCTTTAGAAAAATGATTTTATTAATAACATGGCCTAATCATAATTGACCACTTGTAAGAATTGATTTTGCAAAACCAAATTCATTCTTAAACAAAAATGACATAAATGAGTAAAATTTTTAACAAATAATATGTATAAACTTTTTCTCAAAATTCAATGACATATTTGAGTTTTTTTCCTTTTTCTTTCTTTTTTTAATGTAGTAATTGGAGTGCGTTAAATTTTGGCTTTGAAAAAGTACAGTTTTGGTGCCGCACTTCTCAAATAAGTATTATTCAGACAAAAAGAAAATGTCGACTGGCACCCCTCACTGTTTTCAGATGACTCCCAACACTCTTCCGTGATTTCTGGAGAAAGAGAAGATAAAAGAAAAAACACAAACAAAATCAACTATCTAGTGAACTATATTTTCTCTTCTGCCTTGGACCTCTTTGAAACTCTAAGATCAGCAAGGAGAGGTTTAGGAAGGTCAAGCAAAACATCTCGAGAACAGACATTAGATGGTGCTGAAGATCGCTTTAATATCTCAAATAAGGGAGCAGCAGCTGATGTTCCTGCAGCAGCATTTTTACCTTGACTACTTGATTTGGCTTGGAAGCTTCCAAACTTAGTTGTACTATTTCTGTTTGGAAGGTTTTCTTTCACCACCTGAAACAAAGAACATGAGTAAAATCATTGAATATCTTTGCAAACCAATATCCATTTTATAGTATTAAGTGAATAAGAACCATACAAAAGCAAGCCATGCTATGATTTCTTATAGTATTAAGTTATTTAGACTATTGAATATACATTTTCAATTAATGCTAACCTTTTCTCATATCTTGTTTCTTAACTTCTGGGGACTTTCTACTTATTACTAGGAGAAAAGTCAAATATCCTCCAGATAGGCATACTTATCCCACTGGAAATTGTGATCTACCAAGATTCTCACTGTATATAGACAAGGAAAAATATAGCATATGCTAGAGTTGGATTATATGATGATAGTGGTTGAGGAGCAGAGAGATGGGTAGAAGGGAGGGGCTTATCAAATGTGAATAATAATAATGGAGGAACATGAGCAGCACAACAACAGGCAAGTCAGGTCTCATTCCCCAATCATTTGATGAAAATAAAAAGAAATAAAAAAGATCATAGTTAGAAGCATTACAAAACTACAAAATAGTTACTATATGGGTGATCGCAAAACATCAGATGCACAAATTTGAAACTTTCATGAAGATTTACCATATCTGAAGAATCCTCTGACATTGACATTGAGCTTCGGATATTGCTGTCATCCCGTCCAAAGATGAAAGAACGAACTACAGTTGAACTTTGTTTATGGGATGATGGAAGATGATTTGTAACTCGTCCAAGAAAAGAGGACTACAGAGTAAAACAATCAGCAGATGTACACTAAGTATTAGTCATACAATGTCTAAACAAGGAATAGAGATAAAAAGAAATAATGAGGAAAAAGAAAAAGAGCTATGCAATAGTTGGACCATAGAACTTGAATATAACTGGGGGAAGAGAACTGGTGCCCAATTGCAAGGCCTTAGTGTACCAAATGGTACTTGTGCAGTTGTGCTAGGATCCAAAATAAATGAAAATATATTCCCCAGATACAGCTGCACCAACATGCTATTATCTGGTAAGTATAGAATGACATTGAGGTCCATAGTTAATCACTTCTTGAATCCCAAATCAGCAAATGGATACAAAAATAAGCTAGTTTCTTAAAATAGAGTAGACTCCAATCAAATGTGATCCTAAAAGTTTAAGTGAATGTTTCTGGATATCTTTTTATTCATGGATAAATTACACCCAACCTAAGTTTCATGTTCCTAGTTACAAAAGTAAATTAAGGGGTGTTTGGACATGTTTTTTTTAAGTATCTTACAAAGCTAAAAGTCATAAGTTGAGACTATCCAACTTTTGGCTTTTAGCTTATTTGTACTTTTTCAGTCTTAAAAGAAGTGCTTAAAAGCTATGTTGCTCCGACTCTCTAAAAATATTGCCGCACTTGGGTCGGATCCTTCAAAAATGCACTACTTTTGATGGATCCAACACACACTCGATGAAATTTTGAAGAGTCCGAGCAACATAGCTTAAAAGTACATTTCGTCTTTCCAAACATCTCAAAAAAAAAAAAAAAGAGGGTACTTGAAATAAGCCAATCCAAACACCCACTAAGACAAATTTTACCTTCAAAGAGCTTTTTTTCTTTTGATCCCCTAGCACTGTATCAAAGAACGCTGCAAAGTTGCAACAGCAATGAAAGGTAAGGAAATAATGCTGACAATTAAAACATAATAAAAAAGTACTTCACCATTCTTTTAAAAAAATCATACTTAAACAAGTATTTATAAATGTTGGGATAACACCTACAGGATGCTTTTGGTTTTCTCTTATCCGGCATAGTATTAAGTTTCTTTATAAGTTCAAATATCTCACTGGAACTTTCATCCTCAATAGGCGACGCTACAGTTGTAACCTCCTGTTTCGTGTTTAGTAAAGCTGAGTAAGTTATCAAACAAAATGAAAGAAAGTGTTTGTTAAAGCAAAGAATATAACACAAAAGGTTAATGTGATGTGTCAGTGTGTCAAATCTAACATTGCAAACTCACAGAGTTATAAAGTATGCGCTGCTTGACAACCCTCTTTTCAGTTTCCTCGTCTTCATCAGATAAGAATATATCATCTTTATCCACAAACATCTGAACTATTATTTGCTTTGCTTTTTTCGTACTCAACCGAGTAGAACTCTTAGGTACTGCATCCATGTCAGTGATGCCATTGACCTCTTTTTCACACTCTTCGCTTTCTAGTTCATCATCAACCGACATCGTCTCTTTTTGTTCTACACCACATTTTAACCGTTGCAGCAAATTTTCAGTTCCAGCTGCATCCTGCTGCTCAAGCCACTTTTGATGAAGTTCATTCCGCTTTTCATTATCAATTTTCTTTTCTTTGTAATCAATGGCAATAATATCATGGAGTTCAGCAGAATCATCAATATCATCATCGTCTTCATTATCACCAAACCGGATTAGGTCATTATCACTGTCATCTTCTTCCTCCGCTTCATCATCAACAAATGCTTTAAC